GGGAATCACGATTTGAAAATGATTTTTGTATCGCATACTTGGTTTAATGTATAACGATGACGCGATGTTTGTTTTACGACACCACTTTTCTATGGCAGACGGAACACCTGATAATAAATGGTCACTACATTGGACTTAGATAGCTCTTTTCAAACCTCTTTTGAATACGAATACATAACATTATATAAAACTGAATCATTATAGAAAGACGATACATGGAGCTGTTGGACTTTAAACAGATATTATGTGATTAGTGGAGTTCACTTGTAATAAATTTATTAAATTGTTATATATTTTTGACTTCAAATCTCTGTTAGTTTAGTAATATAATAAATTTTAATTTTAATGCATTCACACAATTAACTTCATACGAATTTTCAAAATGATTTCATATTTTCATCATATCTAAAAATTGTGAGAAAATCCTAAAAACTGAACCCGTGCTCTCTCGCTCGTCTTGGTGAGTCGGAAGAGCCTCCACTTACCAGATCAAAACTCAGATCAAAACATAGCTATCAAAAAGCTGCTAATTTTACTTCCATACTAAATAACATTGTCTAGTCGTTGGCGAATCGCTATAAAGAAAAATCTAAAAGTCTGTGATAAATATATTGTACAGTATTAGATTGGTACTTTTTTTTACAAGTAAAAATGAATTTCATGTTTTTTTTTATGATTGAAGATTTACTGGTGGCCCGGAGGCCTTTCCAGTTTCACCAGGAGAGGTGGGCGAGCAAAGGCTCAGCCAGAAGGGGTGTGATTTGCTAACAGCTGCCCGAGCGCCTCCGAAGGAGACCTAACAACTCAAGAGCAACTGCTTCGCGAATGAATCTACTACCAGATCGGAATCGTGACTCGCTGAGAAGATCCGGCGAGAAACTCAGCGAGCTGATGCGAAACTCAGCGAGCTGATGCATGGGTTAGGTTGCACGAGTTCGACGAGTACGGTTACCGGGGTTTTTTAGCCTGCTCCTAGTGTTAGAGCTGAGGGTATGCAAGCAAGAGTTATTGGACCTGATGGATCCGTAAGGACGTGATTGTTGTTTTGCTTTAATTTTGTTGATCAAATTTCACTCTAAATAATTATAAATTTAGATAAATTTGTAATGGTTATTAGAAAAAAAAAATTATGCTATTTTTAGTTTCCATTGAATTAAAATCGCTATGCCCACACATTTATCTAGTTTGCACCACGACGTTCAGTACCTGCTAACTTGCCGTCACGTCCTGAATAGAATCAACAATGAACACATACGTAAGCTACAAGTTGAGTCATAGCCAAACAAATGTACACCTTATCGTGAAGGAATAAGATCATTGTGAATATTCACCCGCATTGTAAATACATGCCTCAATGCATCGAAGATAGTGCTTATCTTAACACTTGACTCTTAGCGTCACATATTTCCTTCAACTAGCATAATGAGTACGCACCGACTACTTATGAAAGTTTTCTAAAGTAAATTGAGTCGCGTTGAGTAAAACGTCAGAAAAATCAATGTAATACATATGCAGATAGATACTACACTTGAATATTACAAACTGTAAAAATAAAAATAAAACTGCTTTTACTAGTCTTACAATAACGATATGTTCCATACACTTATTACTGGTGTTTAAAACAAACTAGAATACCTATTTTTTCTGTTTTTTTTGTGATTAATCCAATGATTGACCTCGTTGGACCACATATACTGGTACTATTATCATACCTATTCTGGTGCCATGCAAACATTGTTCCATCTTAACGAGTAAGAATGCCGTTTTAATATTAGTTTAAAATAAATTTAAAGTTATTTTAAATGCTGAACATTCTCATAAAACTGTAATAAAACAATAAAAAGTAATAATACTAAGAATAGAACAAATCTTTCGGTGTCCAGCACTTCCATATATCGTCTTTGAGCATTCATTAAATAGAACAGAGCCCAATCAAATTAAAAAAGGAAAAAATAATCAATACGCGTTTGCTACTGAATGATTTTTTAAGTCTTGAGTTCGACTTCTCGCATGCGCCTTGACAAATTATTATAATATTAATAACAAATTTAAACAACTGCTTTAAAATATGATTAACACTTTACTTAATTCATACTTCAAACATCAATATTTTTAAATTTTCAAGTTTAGCGCATCACTATACAGTTCTCATTTGAATAACATTAAAACCGCTTTAGTTCACACCACAAGATGTACTTAGTTACAATCACTCATAAAACACATTCTATTCGATTATAATATTATGATATCAATCTCTCGAATTGAAAACTCGTTCTCTTTAATCAAAAAGGCTAAATAGAAGAGTCATTAAGCCGTATGCCTTATTTAAAATGAATTCCCATACATTACTACATTACATGTCACCTCTTTAACTGCTCCTAATATGACGGAAGCAAGCCGTTCGATAATTTGACTGCTGTCAAAACTAAGGATATACCTCATTTAAGCTTATTTCACCTAATTGAATCCTAGAGCATTAAGCCTTCCAACCCTATAATCCCTTTTTGGATATTCACGCCGACGTTTTAGTGATCTTAAGTGTCTCCATACTAAATTATTTTTTATCGTTCCTTTTAAATTTTAAGCAAGGTGTGGCTTTAAAATAACGTGGAAATCTAAATGGGTTAAGATTTATTATGCAGTGTCTTGAGTTTGTAATAGGATTGTATCATTAAATCGAATTAAAAATAGACAATTAGTGAGTTTATTTACTTCTATTTTAGTTTTTCGTTTTTGAATTCATTTAAATACCATTATTTTACGGTAAACTTAAAACAACGCATGTAAATCGGGTCCTTGAAAGCGAAGAGCATGTCTGCTTTGCCGCAGAAAATATACAGGAAGGGTATAAGTTCAATTATGGGCTCACAATACACTAATTATTCACAGTAAAGAAAGAAGCATATCGACGAGTGAAAGGCTTAGGGTTCATGTGATATTTTGGGAACTTTACAGAAGAGCCATTTAAAGCTTAAAATTTGGAAAAAATATCATAACAAAAAAAAACTGCCCTTTGAATGGGGTAATTAATCGAGGTTCAATTAAATACATCGAATTGTTGATACTAATACCAAATAAAATAGACCTTTAATTATATACTAGAGGTCCCGCAGTAGTCGAAATTCGACTATAATTAATTGGAATTGTAAGTTTGTACACTATTATGATTGTATTTTATACTTCTATAATCACAAGTTTCTCCAAGGCGACTCTATAAAAAAATATTAATAAAGACAAACAATATTTAATCTATTCTCAATTTGACCACACACGTCAAGAACAAAAGTTTGACAATAAATAGTATGCATTCGTGTGTGCGTCAAATACATGGTATGTAGTGTGTGTAATGTTTTCTTTATTAATTTAATGTATCTTTTATGCATTATTTTAAAAAAATATTAGCATTGTGCGCTTCTTGTCTATATTCTCTATAAGTGTAGAAAATTTCATACTCTTCCGTCCCCGCAATTTTCGTAAAAAGGGATACAAAGTTTTTGCTTCACGTATTAATATATAGATAATAATTGTCGCATATTATGCGAAATGTCGCTTAAGCCACGCCTTTCATCTCTCGATATAAGTTTAACCGTACAAGTCGTGAGCACGATATGACGATTGAACATAAGAACGTGATATGTTTCGATACGAGTAGACTTGGCATTTTACCCGTTTGCCTGCGAATGCATCTAAACTACAAAATAATTTATTATTTAATAAAATTAACTTTGCATATAATTTGATCTATATGATTCATTAAGGTGATTTCTAATCGTAGTAAGTCTTTATAAGAATCTGTTAAGGCTGTATGCCGGAGCTTAGAACAAAAAACAAAAATCTGAGGTCGGTATTTATCAAAAGGTTTTTATACTGAATCCAAAAATTCAGAAGCCACTAAAGTACGTGATTACTGTACAATAATTCGAAACATATCGAAGGAAAAAATATCCTAAAACGTTTTACAAGCATCCTCGAATTTTGTATAACCGCAGAATGTTCAAAGAATTGGAAAAAAAAAAAAAGTTACAAACGACGAGATACATTTGTATTTCAAGCGGAAATCACGCTCAAATTGCAAATAAGTGCTTCACCCTCAAAACCAATCGAACACATTTCATAGCACACGCAATTTCTTGTAACAAGCAAAAAACGTAACGAACTTCTAAGCTGGAAAAATGAATGAATTTTTCATAAGCACTATCGTATTACCAAAATTCACATTTCTTACTTGTATGTAACGCGATAGCTTATGTTTGCGGTCAAGTGGCCACATTGTTGTTATTACGTAACTAATTACAAGTTATAATTGCATGCGATATAACTCATATTTACAGGCAGATGTTTTGTTCAAACGTATTCTATTTCCCAGCAAGCCACTGCAGCACGTGTTACCAAAGATGTATCTGCGTTTTTATACTAGCTAAGATTGGTAGCGAATCTTACGGCCAGCCTGATACTAGCCAGATATTTTCATGATGGTAAATTATATATTATAACGCACACATCACACATCCCTATTTACTCTACTAGTCGGTCTTGAAGGGGAATGCATGCGGGCGGAGCGGCAGAGACGTCGCCGGGCAACCACATAGTTTTTCAGAAAGCTGTCAGTCGATATAGCACCAATGAAATATATTTTACATCGTTAAACTTAATTATAAAATACACCTTAAACTGGGATTATTTTAATAATTCGTTATNATCACACATCCCTATTTACTCTACTAGTCGGTCTTGAAGGGGAATGCATGCGGGCGGAGCGGCAGAGACGTCGCCGGGCAACCACATAGTTTTTCAGAAAGCTGTCAGTCGATATAGCACCAATGAAATATATTTTACATCGTTAAACTTAATTATAAAATACACCTTAAACTGGGATTATTTTAATAATTCGTTATAAGTGGCGCCCAACGTGGGGCCGCGAACCCAGCTTAAACTGGATTTCGTACCGAAGTTATTAAAATCATAGTTCATTGTGTGTGCTAGAAAGAATGTTCTAGAAGATGCCGCCACGCAAAGTACGTGCAGGTGCTGTGAGTGATAATCAGTCCAGCTCGGAAGATGAAGCCGCAAGACCTTCGCCAGTACTTATGTCTGGGGACCAGTTGACCTCATTCCTTGCCGCCTTCGCAAAAACTCAGGCGGAAGTGAATCGGCAACTCGTCGAATCCCTCATGACATCGTACGCGAGAGGTAGCTCAGGTGCACCCCCTGAAGTTTCCGACGCTGCGATAGCATCCTCACCGACACCCACGTCTTTAACCAGTAAGTCCGGCAACATGGCTAAGTGTACGTCGCGCTTCGATGGTCAGAGCCGTGACCCTGAAGTTATAGAAGCATTCATCGACTCAGTGGAGATTTTTAAAGAGTGTGCGTCGATCAGTGATGATCTTGCATTGCGAGGACTGCCTATGCTGCTGCACGGTGAAGCTGCAGTATGGTGGCGAGGGGTCCGGACCGAAGTGTCTTCGTGGCCCGAAGCCGTCAAGAGACTACGATGTATGTATGGTATTCCACGTCCAGCCTACAAGATTTTCCGTAACATATTCGCTGTCGAGCAAAACGAAGAGCTCGCGGATTCGTTTATTATTAAAATAAGGGCTATGATGTCGACATTACCATACGTATTACCCGAACAAGTGAAGTTGGACATGATATACGGCTTATTGGATAGGCGTATTCGAAAACGTTTGTCACGAGATGCGGTGTCCAGTATTGAATCCCTGATAGATAAAGCGCGAGCTATTGAAGAATCGCTCATGGAAAATGCTACTATNGAGCTCGCGGATTCGTTTATTATTAAAATAAGGGCTATGATGTCGACATTACCATACGTATTACCCGAACAAGTGAAGTTGGACATGATATACGGCTTATTGGATAGGCGTATTCGAAAACGTTTGTCACGAGATGCGGTGTCCAGTATTGAATCCCTGATAGATAAAGCGCGAGCTATTGAAGAATCGCTCATGGAAAATGCTATTATGAGCATAAAGTCAACGTCGTCGTGTGTGCAATCGACATGCTATCCGGCGGCCGGCTCGCGAAGTTCACGCGTCGTCACATCGGATGGTGCGACTTTAGCGGGAAGCATCGGGCCTGCGTCTCCGGCGCATCCTGGATTACTGCCACAGAGTACCGCGTTAGCTCAGCGGTCATGGGTGCAGTCTCCGCAGCGTTCATCGTCGTCTTCGACTCCAATCAGTGCCGATAAAAATAATTCCGCGGTTAAAGTGAAAAGTGAGATAAATTATAAAAAGTTTTGTGTTTATTGTAAGTGTCGTGGTCATACACGTGATTCGTGTCCTAAGAACTCTAGAAAGTCAAATGATAATAATAAGTCTAGCTTGTTTTGCTATGGTTGTGGTGAAAAGGGTTATATTCGAGCAAATTGTCCAAAATGTAAAGAAAGTGTTTCGACATGCGATGTTATTTATCCAAATACGTCACAATCACAACATAATGTATTCCAATCACTTGATACCATTTGTAATGTTCAATGTAATGATACTAATGTTATTGTTGCTCAGGGTAGACCTATTTTAAATATCGAGATTTGTGGGTATCCCGGTACAGCGCTTATTGATACTGCCGCTCGACGTAGTATCGCGGGTTCAACCTTGTACTCACTTTTGTTACGTTTGGGTATTAAATTTAATTCACAAGAAATGTCAGTGAAGTTTGCTGATGGTAGCATACGTACTGATATTGTTATGTTAACGTGTGTAAATGTAAATTGTATGTCTAGGTGTATACCTGTAGAATTTGTTGTATTCCCTAACGCGTCAAATAACGAGACACTCTTAGGCATCGATTTTATCACAAAATTTGAGCTGGTCTTGAATTTTGCTACTATGACATGGTGGACAGCTGATCGACCTCGGGTCATTCACCCTCTGCTAACAGAAAGTACACGCGGGATGGTTCAGTGCGCCTCTGTCAACCTATTGAGGCAGGATGAGGGCACTTTGTTGACACAAGAGGAACGCTCCAGCTTAGAAAATCTTCTTGGTGAGTATTCTGATATTTTTGACAAAGTCGGAGAGCCAACGCCCTTTGCTGAACATAATATCGATACGGGTGACCACGCCCCTATTGCTGTACCACCCTACCGAGTTACGCCCGCGAAGAAGGAGATTATTCGCGCAGAACTCGATCAGATGTTAAAAGACGGAATCATTGAAGAGTGTGAGTCTGCCTGGTCTGCACCAACCGTTCTGGTACCAAAGGCTAATGGTGGGTATAGGTTTTGTGTAGACTATCGTCGGCTTAATGCTGTCACAAAGGGTGATGCGTATCCTATGCCACGCATTGACGAGCTGCTGCAGTCAACTAAAAAAGGCTGCGTGATGAGTTCCTGTGACCTTCGAAGTGGTTACTGGCAGTGCAGTATCAAGGATCAGGATAAAACGGCCTTTGTCACACCGTTCGGTATGTATCGTTTCAAGCGTATGCCATTTGGACTAAAGAATGCGCCAGCTACGTTCCAGAGACTTATAGATAGATTTCGATCGGGATCCTCGCTTAAGGACGTTACCGTATTAGCCTATTTTGATGATATATTGGTAATCTCAGATTCATACCAACGCCACCTTTCAGATCTCCGTGCAGTATTCGACCGTCTCCGCTTGTTTAAGCTTCGAGCTAATCGAGACAAGTGCGTCTTTGCTAGAGAAAAGGTCAAGTATTTGGGTCACGTGATCTCTCAGGAGGGTATATCTCCGGATGAAGACAAGGTACGCGCGGTATTAGATATGAAGGAGCCTAAGTGTCTTCAGCACTTACGCACTTTTCTTCAAACGTGTTCCTGGTTTCGCAAATTTATACCGGACTTTGCAAAGGTAGCTGAACCACTCACACGCTTGACTAAGAAATCGTATGTTTGGGAATGGAGTTTGGAGCAAAGTAAGGCGTTTGAATCTCTTAAGAAGTTGTTGACCACGTCTCCTATTTTAGTACAAGCGGATTACACTAAGCCGTTTTTACTGAGGACAGACTTTAGTAACTATGCTTTGGGTGCTGCTCTACTGCAGGGGGAGTCGCCCCATGATGAGCATCCAATAGAGTATGCTAGTCGTTTGCTTACCACAGCCGAGCAAAATTATTCTACTACTGAGAGAGAGGCTCTCGCGGTAGTTTGGGCTGTCGAGCGATTCCGTGGTTACATTGATGGTCATCCAGTCCGTGTGATGACTGACCACCAACCTCTGAAGTGGCTGTTTTCCTTGAAGTCACCAAGCGGTAGGTTGGTTCGCTGGGCAATGAAGCTGCAGGCTTTTGATCTGCGTATCGAGTATACCCCAGGTAAGGCCAATGTATTAGCCGATACTCTTAGTCGACCCGCGACCAGTGATGGGGGAACACCGGCATGCGACATTTGCCCGGTTGTCATAGACGTACCACACTGGGATGCGACTTCGACCCGGGAAGCTCAGTTGGCTGATGCAGAGGTTGCCAAGATTATCCAGGACCTCGAAGGTAAGGATGAACTTGCTGTTAATCGCTGGACTGAGAGAGGTTATCTTTTGAATCAAGCGGTTTTGTATAGGTATGTGCCTGATACTGATTCCGAAGAGCCTCAACTCGTCATAACAGAAAGTCTGCGGAGTAAAGTCATGTTCGAGTGCCATGACTCGCCTACTGCCGCTCATAGTGGTATCGATAGAACATTGCACCGTATCTCGCAAAGGTTCTATTTCCCTGGTATGAGACGGTTTGTAACTCAATATCTTAAGACTTGTGTTGAATGTCAGCGGTACAAGCCATCAAACCTTAAGCCAGTTGGACTGTTACAGACTCCTGTTCCCGCTCAGAGGTTTGAAACTCTTGCGATTGACCTCTTTGGTCCTTTGCCTAGAGGACCGCAAGGTGAAAGGTGGATCCTTATTGTAGAGGACACTGCCAGTAAGTGGGTAGAAGTCTTCGCTCTCATGGAAGCTACAGCAGAGATCTGTGCCAAGACGCTGGTCAATGAGGTATTTATGAGATTTGGTCTACCTCGGCGCTTGATTTCTGACAACGGAGTGCAGTTTGTAGCTGATGTCATGCAGAAGGCTATGTTTGTTCTAGGTGTAAAGCAAAGCATAGTCCCTCTTTATCACCCGGAGGCGAATCCAGTTGAACGAAAGAATCGGGACCTGAAAGCTCACATCGCCATATTGGTGGAGGGTCGTCACCAAAACTGGCCAGAGGTATTGCCGTTCGTACGATTTGCGTTTAATAGTTCTCTCACTAGGTCTACTGAACATACCCCTGCTTACCTGACTTTCGGTCGTGAGTTGCGGTCCCCTTTGACGGTCCAGGCGGACCTAAGAGCGGTCGTTGCATCTGAAAATTTTGTACCCCAGATTACACCGTACTTGCTCAAGCTTGCCGATACCATCTCGACAGCAATGGAGAACCTTGAACGTCATCAGGACTCTCGCAAGGCATATGCTGATCAAGGTCATTCCCCTCCCGAAGAATATTTAGAAGGTGACTTGGTGTTAATGAAGACCCATGTTCTTAGTAACGCTGCGAAGGGTGTTACCTCCAAGTTTAACCCGAAACGGGATGGACCTTACGTCATCTCTAGAAAGATGAGTCCTACTACTTACCTTTTGGCTCATAGATCCGGTGATGTTTTTGGTAAGTACCACGTATCGGATTTAAGGCGTTATCATGCTAGAGAGGGTGAATGTCCTGAGCCGGTCGTACCTAAACGTGGTAGAGGTCGCCCGCGTAAAGTTATTGCTTAGATGTCAGTCCGCGTTATTTGTGTTGTTTGACCAGGTGATAGGTCCTCACCTGATCAAAAGGGGGAGTGTATAACGCACACATCACACATCCCTATTTACTCTACTAGTCGGTCTTGAAGGGGAATGCATGCGGGCGGAGCGGCAGAGACGTCGCCGGGCAACCACATAGTTTTTCAGAAAGCTGTCAGTCGATATAGCACCAATGAAATATATTTTACATCGTTAAACTTAATTATAAAATACACCTTAAACTGGGATTATTTTAATAATTCGTTATAATATTTTATTATAATTATTCATTATATTTTAGTTTATGGTAAATGGCGCTAGAGAATAGCAGTGCTCTCCGAACGTCATACCAAGATACTCCGATCGCGTGTATTGTAAGGTGTACTATGAGTTCTAAATATCATCATGTTCACACTAATCATACCAATACTTACTGGTACCTATTTCTACCATATCGGGTAGATAACGGTATACGACAAATATTACTCAAAATAAACAATAACAAAACTTAAAATATATGTAATAACTGTAAATTAATTGGTAAGAAAAAGTCATGAATTCAAATGTACAAAAGAAATAAGATGATACGTGCATTTTCAATGTAAAAGTTCAAAATGGGTCATTCGACCTGTGATGGTATGTTTAGTGTTAATATCAATTGGCCAACCAACATAATATGTAGCTTGTGTGTTAGCAGAAGTTCAAAGAGCACGAATTCTTATAAGGGCATAAAAATATGGAATACATATACGATATACAGGTTTATGTCCTGGCTAGGTGGTGCGATGACCTTCGAACAGTGGCCGGCAAGAAGTGGATGAGGATAGCCGAAGATCGGGCTCAGTGGTGTGGATTGGGAGAGGCTTATGTCCAGCAGTGTACGACTGTGGGCTGATGATTATGATGATACGTAATACGGGTATTAAAATACTCTTCTGATTTCCATATAATTAATTATTACACGGACGTGGAT